AGTCAGGACATAGCATCGATCGGCCTGCATCACATACAACTGGTCATTTTTAGCTCAAGTTAACTTGGGTCCATTAAATAATATTAACGGATTATTTTTTATTTTATTAATGAAATTAAAATCAAAAGTTGAAATTAACATTAACTAAGATTACTAAATGCTTTAAAAGTATACTTTCATTGTTTAAGGTAGGGTAGGCAATTTCAGAACGGCTAGCAATAGCAAGCTATCTTTGAAAGCATTAGATCCCACCCTCCCTTCAGAGCGTCTCCAAAGCCACGCCTCCTCCAAAACACACGGGCCGTTTCTCAATTTGCGTTCTTGTCTGTACTTGTGTTCTTGTGGACTTGTGCAACGTCATCAGTCGCTGCCCAAGTACTGTCTCAATACACAAGTTTGCATTTTGGCAAGACCGGTTAAAAAACCCGGAAGTGTTCTTGACATGCCCATTTTACCGAGGATGCATCAGTTGGTAACTTGTGTGAACTTGACGGCAGAAATATCCCAGGATTCATTTCGGCATTCAAGGAAGGAGCGGGGAGCAGAAAGGCAGAACAACGGTAAGTCGTTTTTCTACAATTTCGTATGCTATTTCATCACTAAATTCACTTCTGAGAACATTTGATGTGAGAAATCTACTGTGTAGATTTCAAATATTGCCATTTTTACGAAAATTTATGGCGAATCGAAAATATGCTCAAACGTTTTCGGTAGTGAAGAATCTCCATAAGCGCACGCGGGTGTAGCTAGCGAGCCAACCGGCCAGTCATGCTAAAAACTCGTTTTACCCCACAGTCAAGAGACCATAGCAGCAGAGCAAAAATGGCAGGCGAAAGCCAGACCCACAACTGTAAGAAAGTTTTACTTTTCTTACCGCTGTTATTATATAATTGCATTCTAATTAATGTGATAACATTTTCATTTAAACCAAGGGACATCTGAGGATTGCGTTGCTTTATTGTTATGAATATATATTACATTGAGAGTGTACAGCTGTAGAGTAATCCCTTGAGCTGAGGGTAGGCTTGGGCGATAAAACCTGGCTGTTATCATCAATAATTCTTGTTATGTTTGGGTACTGAAGACGGCGCTGTGCGGGGGTATTGCGCAATACCAGCAAGAACACATCGCCTCAAACTGTCAGCAGCGTTGTGTGTGCTCGTCACCTTGTAAGTTCATTCTTCCAAGAACAACTAGCAAGAGCGTTCTCCCCAAGAACACAAGTCCGTTCTTTGCATTCTTGGTTTTGAGAAACGGCCATGAATCTCTCACAACAGAGTCTGCAAAGCGTCACGAGAGACGGCGTTAAATTACCTCATGTCTCGAAGCACATAACATTACTATAATAATGAACATAAACATCTTACAGAGCTCTGACTTACACCACCTGACTGATGCAGGTTCATTTCAGCGTTGATAGTGTTGCCATAGAAACGCATAAATCTGATGTCACGGGTTGTCATCTCGTAATTACGCTTATGACATGGTATGAGCGCAGCATAAGCTCGTTGTTTTGGTTCAGGAGGAACTGTAAAAGTTGGCTTCTGTTTGTTTGCAGCGCTCGGTGACTCTGTCTACAACTCTCGATAGCCTCATTGAACGCGCTGATGACGTGATGTCTGGTAGCTATGAAATGGAGGTATGGAAATACATATGTTGAGAGGCAGCTAGGACATCCTATCATTGCATTCGGACTGAATGCAATGATTGGACAAACATTTTTTTTTTTTTTTGAGACTTCCACGGAAGATATAGGTACATTGTTTAAAGGGGCACTTGGCAACTATTTCAACTTGATAAAACCGTTTAGAAATCATTTGAATGGTTTAATAACCTGTTCTGGAGAGAATGGTGACTTTCCCCGCTCCCTCCAGCGTTCCCAGGTGGAAAAACAACCTTGCCACATGGGGACTAACGTCCCGGTAAATTGGAAATAGGAAGTCTCGTGAGAAGCGAGAACGAGCGAGAAACACAAACTGCTTTAGGGCAATTCGACATAATTCTATGATACTGTGTATGATGTATTACCCACTCGGTAGACATAACTCCACACGATAAAGTTGGCCGGCTCCGATAATAACAAATGCACATGAGCAGCGGTAGAAAGCGGGAGGAAGGTGCCGCAAGTGAGTTTTTTTATGACAGTGATGTGAAAATATACGCCGCTCAGCTGTAGGGGGAGCTCGATGAGAAAACATGTGACAACAAACGTGAAAATCAGCAAAGAAATGACTAGAGTTGCCAAGTTCCCCTTTAATATTTAGACCACTTCTACTTCTAGTCAAGTCAAGTCAAATCAAATATATTTATATAGCGCTTTTCACAATACAGATTGTATCAAAGCTGCTTCACAGTATCAATCAAAACAACTTAACAGTGTTTGTTTATTACTGGAAAAAGACATCCAAGTTTGGTAGATCTGATCAGTGGTATGATGAATATCCCCAACTGAGCAAGCCAAAGGCAACAGTGGCAAGGAACCGAAAAACTCCATCAGATGACCCAATGGAGAAAAAAAAACCTTGGGAGAACCCAGGCTCAGTCGGGGCCAGTTCTCCTCCAGCGTTTATGAAGTAGAGGCTGAATTTACAGTAACTGTAAGATAAAAAATGTAAATGAATGCCTGGCTAAATAGATGCGTCTTTAGTCTAGTTTTAAACTGGGAGAACGAGTCTGAGCAACGAACAATATCAGGAAGGCTATTCCAGAGCTTCGGAGCTAAATGTGAAAATGCTCTCCCTCCTTTGGTGGATCTGGATATCCTAGGAATGACCAGAAGCCTCGAATTTAGTGATCTTAAAGAGCGCGATGGATTATAGGGCGATAGAAGATCCATTAAATAGACTGGAGCTAAACCATTCAGAGCTTTATAGGTCAAAAGCAAGACCTTGTAATTAATACGGAACTTTATAGGTAACCAATGAAGTGATGATAGAATCGGTGTTATATGATCATATTTTCTTGATCTAGTAAGAACTCTAGCGGCTGCATTTTGGACTAACTGTAGCTTGTTTATTGAAGATGCAGGACAACCAGCTAATAAAGCATTTCAGTAATCTAGTCTCGAGGTCATGAATGCATGAACTAACTTTTCTGCATCAGAGACTGATAGCATATTACGTAGCTTAGCAATGTTTCTAAGGTGGAAAAAGGCTGTTTTTGTAACATATGAAATATGCTTTTCAAAAGACAGGTTGCAGTCTAATGTAACACCCAGGTCTTTTACTGTAGCGGATAAAGTAACAGGACATCCTAATATGTTAAAGTCGTGCTGTGAAAGGTTTTGTGGACGGTTTTTAGAACCGATAAGTATTACCTCTGTCTTGTCTGGATTTAATAAAAGAAAGTAACGCGTCATCCGATCTTTTATATCTTTAACACAATCTGTCAATTTGGATAATTTAGCGTATTCATCTGGCCGTGATGAAATATATATTTGAGTGTCATCGGCATAACAATGGAAACTAATTCCATGTTTCCTTAGAATATTACCAAGTGGCAGCATATATATTGAGAATAATAAAGGGCCTAACACAGATCCCTGTGGCACTCCATTTTTTGCCAAAGTTATGATCGATTTTTCTCCATTTAAGTAGACGAAATGGTAGCGGTCAGATAAGTATGACCTGAACCAGCTTAATGCTTGTCCTTGAACACCAGTGTAATTTTGTAGTCGATCTAAGAGTATTCTGTGATCTATAGTATCGAACGCAGCACTAAGATCAAGTAAAACTAGTACTGAGATACAGCCTTGGTCCGAAGCTAAAAGTAAATCATTTGTGATTCTAACAAGCGCAGTTTCAGTGCTATGATGTGGCCTGAATCCAGACTGAAACGTTTCATAGATGTCGTTTTCTTGCAAGAAAGAGCCGAGTTGAGCGGACACAGCTTTTTCTAATATTTTTGATATAAATGGAAGATTTGAGATGGGTCTGTAATTTGCTAGGTTATTTGGATCTAATTGTGGTTTCTTAATAAGAGGTTTTATAACTGCCAGCTTGAACGTTCTTGGAACATGACCTAAAGATAAAGATGAGTTAATAATATTGAGAAGAGGCTCTTCCACTATAGGTAACACTTCTTTCAATAGTTTAGTTGGTATAGGATCTAATAGACATGTTGTTGTTTTAGATGAAGTGATAAGTTAATTTAACTCTTTTTGTTCTATGGTTGTAAAGCATTGTAATTGTTCTTGCGGGGTGATAATTGCGGCTGAATTATAAGGCGAGAGTAGTAGTTTTTATTTAATACTGTGACTAGACTAACAAATAAACAGACGTCGTCTGAACAAAATACCTCGAAACTGTAACGAGGTATTTTGTTCAGACGACGTCTGTTTATTTGTTAGTCTAGTCACAGTATTAAATAAAAACCTTGGATTATTTAGGTTGTTTTCTATTAGTTTGCTGAGGTGATACTTCTACTATCGGGATGTGATGAGAGTTTAAACCAGTATAACAAAAAGTGTTATTGCCTACCCAACCTTTAACTATTAACTAATGATAACAAATGGAACCTTATTGCAAAAAGTAATACCTACAAATTAATGTTGTACTTTAATATCAATAATTTATCGGAAAATAATGATTGCATCCAGCGAGAAACTATCAGTGATGAGACTTGTGTAGGTGTCTGACTGTTGTTGCTTCAGCTACACTGACACAGCAGAAATACACTGAGAGAGAGAGAGAGAGAGAGAGAGAGAGAGAGAGAGAGAGAGAGAGAGAGAGAGAGAGAGAGAGAGAGAGAGAGAGAGAGAGAGAGAGAGAGAGAGAGAGAGAGAGAGAGAGAGAGAGAGAGAGAGAGAGAGAGAGAGAGAGAGAGAGAGAGAGAGAGAGGCGGAGTGTGTGCATGCCGTCACTGTGGACGAGTTCCCTCCCTTCTGCTCCTCTTTCTCCCGTCCTCAAACACACTCAGACCCTCCAGTCCAGCAAACTGTCTGTCTCTCTCACACACACACACACACACGCACAGCCGCCAGAGAACGTCTGTGATCCGTTGATCTGCTCTCTACACCAGCGAAGGGAAAAGGTGACACATTTGCTCTCATGCAGCTCTTCATACTTCCTCTCCTCCTCATCCTCGGGGTGAGGAGGGGATTCGGGACCCCTCTGACATCGACCGAGGCCCCCAGCGTGTCCCCGGACCCCTGCGAGGGCAGACCGTGTCTGAACGGGGGCGTCTGTAGTCGGGTGGGAGAGATGGAGGAGAGTCCGAGCACACAGATGCAGTCAGACTTCTGGGCTTATACATGCATCTGCAGCCAGGGCTTCACTGGACGCAACTGTGAGGTGAGAGTGTGAACTTCATCTTCTGACCGTCTCTGTGTGCTGCTCGAGTTACATTGTGTGATAAGCATTTAGAAAGACATGTATATGTCAATGCTCTGCGAGAGATCATGTGCGGTCTGTGCGATGTGAATGAGAGTGCTGCGTTGCTGTGGCAACAGATAGGCAGGAGAGGAGAGGCGGCTGTGTGTGTGTGTGTGTGTGTGTTAGAGGTAAAGATCACAGCATAACTCTATGTCTTGCAGTTAGATATGGTCTGCAGTGTGTTTCTACACCAAGGCAGCAAAATCATTCCCAGTCTGTCACCTTTTCTATTCACTTCGCAAGTATGCAGCGTTGACCTCATTGCATGCATTCTGTTTTATAACAAACCACTACGGGACGCTGAGCCTTTCTGTGATGGGTGATGCAAGCCTTTTTTGAACCTCTTTGCAGTCAAGTGCATTGTGGTGCAATTATGGTCCACACTGGAATTATAAGGAACATAGAGATACACTGCCAAAAAAAAAAAAAAAAAAAATTTTTTTACCCAATACATCTCTTGTTTTACAGTAAAATATATACTTACTTTAAAATAATAAAAATAATTTACGTGCAAAACTGTTTTCAGAGAATATGTGTTAAATAATTTATATTATCCCATTTTGTGAGATTGTTTTTCCTGTTGGTAAAAAAAAAAACATCCAAATGTTGTTAGTTTTATGCTTAAAACAAAAAATAAAGTGTTTTCCAATGAGATACAGTGAAATATATATTTTATGAATACAATTTTCTTTATAAGTAGATAGTAATTATTAGGCCTATTATTGTAATATATCATAATTTCAATTATATCAATATTAGGGTTATTATTGTAAACTAAAACCATTAAAAAACAATTCCGTTACTTAAAATAAAATATAAAAAACGTACACTTATTTTAATTCAGCTAGTTTCCGATTTCTCGTTTTCAATGAGTTTAAGCTGAAGGACTAAAATAACTCAAACTAAATAAACTAAAACTAATGAATAAAACATATGAAATATTATATAGACTTTTTTTAACTAATGAAAATGACAAAAACACAAAATAAATATAAAATCCAAATTAAACTGAAAACAGCTAATTAAAAACTGTTTATCAATGATACTATATACAGTATATTAAATTTGATATATTGATTTATTGTTTTAGTTCATGTATGAAGATGTACTTAAACGGCCTTAAAATGTAACTTTACCAATTTTCAAACCTGATTTGTATTGTCACAATGTTGATATGTAAATGTTTACTCATTCTCCGTGTTACTTGTACCGAGATATTCACATTTATTTGACGGCTCCGGGGCTTTTGTGAAAAATACAGATGGCACTTCTGTATTTTTGTGTCCCCGCCCACCGACAGTCGGATCGACAGAGGGTTATTAACAGAACGGTTATTGTTAGAGAAGGTTTAGCACGGAAAAATGTATGTTACACTGTTAAACAGCAGTAACAGTAAATATTGAATCCAGCTTTCTCACAGCTTTCTCACCTGTGTCCTTCGGGTGGAACTGACAGAGCTGCAGTTTCTTTCCATGTTTGGCATAAAACACTGTTCGTTGTCATCCAGTTTGAAATGTTGACTACAAACACAGTTTTTTCAGATTCTCCGTCACAGTCTTCTCTCCATATTAACAATTCTTCACTGCCTTTAGCCACCGCCTACAACGTGCTGGATCCTTCACTGGAACCGAAAGTAACTCTCTCCCACTAAACTTCGCTCTCTGAATTCTTGCACCCGGGGAAAAATACAATTCTACACCATTCTAACTAAATGTTTGCTAAGAAGTATTTCCTACTAAAGCAAGGTGGTATTTGACTGGTCAAGCATATCCATAGCAGACTGGTGTGAGTGGCCTTGGACGGCAACGTGCCCAGTGCATTATGGATGTTGAAGTTTTCCTGCTTATTTGGCAAAGTGAAGACAACAGCCTTTTCCCTCTGTTTAGTCAGGTTACTGCATAGGCAGCCAAGTTTTATTGAAAGCTCATCGTGCCAGCGGTGAAATACCCTTTTAAGGAAAGGGTGAGGGCCTTTGTTTTAAAGTATTAGCAACAGATTTGTTGTTTATTGGCTGTAGACACACATCAGAGTTAATGCACTAATGGGAACAAAGCCTGAATGTGAGTAGCACAGCTAGACACAATCACGACCTCTGACCTAAATCACTGCAAAGCTTTACCGGATCCAAGAGATCTGAGAGCCGTGTGCACATGCATATGCTCTGAACAACAGGTGGCACTCATAAGGCTATGAAATTGTGTGCGGTTGTGTCTCATTTGTGTTTGCATCTTGTCTACTGTTAAAGGGGTCATATAATGCCATTTTTGTACAAGCTAATATGATTCTTTAGGGTCTAAATTAAAAGTTTGTAATATACTTTAATTAAAAATTCTCATTAGTATTGTAAGAAAACACTTATTTTACCTGGTCAAAAACAGCTCTGTTTTCAGCACGCCGTTTCAGTGCATATGACTTTAAATGATAATGAGCTTCGCTGACTCCGCCCCTCTGTTCTGTGCGTACACCGTTTGTAACACAATAACACAATAACCATAACGCGTTGTTCATTATAAACGTGGGATTATGAATTATATTGAGAACGTCGTACATAGAAAACATGCCGTAATGTGTGTGTAAACCTTAGACGCATTCATTGTGAAGCGTGCAAGCGATTTGCAAAGATTAATATAAATATTAATATAAAGATTAATAAAACGTTACACTCACTTCAGTTGTTCTAGAGGTTCAGCAGGAACACGAATATCTGGTACCGATCCTTTTTTCATGAGCAGCTTCTTAGCAAATCCAGCTTTATACTGACCCTCGTTTATAAAGCAGTCTGGTCAGAAATGATTTGCGCAAACATGAGAGCATTGACGTTGCTCGTGGGGAATATTCCCTTTGAAAACAAACTCAGCCACTGCGTCTTCAGCGGTTCGGATTTAGGAACATTAAAAATGACTGTGTTCGTTATTACACCCAAGAACAGAACACCACAATCACTTAGACGCCATTCTGCTCATAGACAGTGCTCCAGCATATCAACAATGAGCGCGCCGGTCCGCGCAGACTATGATTGACAGCTCCCTCACGAGCGAGGGCGGGTCTGTGTTGAAACGCTGCTGTCAATCAACAATCGTGGGAGGGGCTTCCGAGCGTGTGACGTCACAGGCTCGAACGGCTTGATTTGAGGCAGGGGAAAACATATAAGGAGATTAAAACAAAAACACTGGATGGATTTTTATCATTATATGATGGTTGTGTACAGGCACTGCCAACACACATTTCAGTACAATCAACTTGTAAAAGTGCATGTACCATTATACGACCCCTTTAAGATGCATCAATGCGCCCTGTCCTTTCCTCAACCTTAGTTAAAGCTTGTGTCTAAACCTGTGTCCTGTGACGTCATACTGCTCATTTACATCTCCCCCAAAGGATGCTGCCGCGTGATTGGTGTACGGCACTGGCAAGATTAACCGTGATTGGTCGAAGGGGCCTGAAGTCATTGTGATGTCACTCAGTGTTCCATTTCTCCAGGCAAGGCTGGTGTTCTTCAGTCGCCCTGTAACGAGACAGCCTTTTTTTCCAAACTTTAAACATTAACTGCTGCTGACGTGATGCAGCAGGATCACACATTTGACTGTTTTGATGGAATAAGGAGATGAACTGGAATGATTCGATGTAAGTTAGCAGCGTGCCCTTGAGGATCTCACTTCACCTCAGTCTCAGGTGTAGTGCAGCGGCTGACGCAGAGTGAGTGTGCAAGAATCACATGTCCTTTCTGAAAACTCGTCTTTAAAAGCTAGGTTGGTCTGTGAGGGGAAAAGATGCATGTACTTTATGCACACACACACAGTCACTCATTTACTACAGTGGCTGGATGCACACTTAGAAACCATAGATCTGATGGTCATATCACAAGGGATGCTTATTTTCAGGGTCGTCGTGTTTTTCTTCTCTCCTTTGGTCTTTCTGCTTTGATTCCAGCTTGCAATAGGGAATTCATTAATATTAAAGAGAGAGCTTGACTGGCCATTGTTTCTGCAAAGCTTTCATCTTTAAACATGTAGATTGAAATATAGCAATCTGTGACCAGTGTGTTTAGCAGAGTTGCCAGACCAACAGCTCTGTAAGAGAGTGAGCCTCATTAAAGAAGATTAAAAAGGGAGTAAAATGGGAACTAAAGGGGTAAAGGGAAAGGTAGATATTGTGGAGGACATCAAAGGTATATAAAGTACATAGAGAGAGACATTCAGGAGAACATAAGCTGACTAGGGGACATAAAAAGAATAGTTAACAATATTAAACCTACTGTATCAAATTTGATACGTAAAGAAATTATGAATAATAAAAACTTTGCTGAAAAACTAGTTGTACACAATCTACTACATGCATTCTGCCCTCTGTTTGATAGTTCATAAAAAATTGTTGCTAGTAAATGGCGTTTTTCTAATAGAAAAAAGCGTCCCCCTTCAGGTTATGGTTCATGTGTCTATTTGCAGTGAAATCTTTTCTGATTTCTATAAAGTAAACATAAGAATTGCTTTTATATTGTCATTAATATTTCAAGATGGACATGTAATGGACTGAAGCAACTTGGTTTTGCATTTTTTAGACAGCCATGTTAAAATGTGAGAATCGAGTATGATACTTTAGGCTTTTGAGGAACATTTTTTGATAATCTTTCAGTCATGATTGAATTATAAGTTTAGCTCCCCAGAATAAAAACTACAGAGGTTTGATGATGTATCTGGTTATTTGGTGGCACATCTTCTCCCTTCCACCTGCCTTTCAGAACGTGCTGCATTAATAAATGCCATTGCCAGTGATGTCTGGCTTTAAATGCATGTGTTATTATTTTGCCATGACATTTGATAAAACTGTCTTCTGATCCACATACGTAACTAAAAAAAACTGTAAATAACTGTGTAGGATGTTCCATTAAAACCCCAGAGAAAATATTTTCCACTTCTGCT